CTCTGTCTCTGGTGAAGCCTCTCACCGCCCCTGCACCTCTGGCCTGTGCCCCAGCTCTGTGTGCAGAAATAAATCAATCTTTAAAAATATAAAAAAGAAAAGAATAAGCAGAGAGGAGCCAGCTTGTCAACCCTTCGATTTCTCCCAGCACCAGCTCTCTCGTGGCCACTCCAGACTCGTCTCTCCATCCTCCCCTACGTCAGCCCAGCCGCCCCGACCCTCGCTGGCTTCTTCCTGCAGGTCCAAATGTGCTTTAAGATGACGCCCCTCCTACCACTTCCGTTGGCGGGGTTGGGGGGCGCCTTCCTGTCTTCCTTTTTTGCCTGGGTGCTTTGCTGCACCCCTCCTCCTGCTCCCCAGTACCATCGCATGCCCACATCCTTCCTTGACACCCCCATCCACTTGGCCGCCTACTTTACCTCAGCTGTTCCTCAGTCTGTGTGATGGTCGCTCACGAGTGAGTGCTTTTCCCATGCTCTTAGCCATCTCTGCTCCCTTGTGTGTGAACTGCCCATGTCCTTGGGTGACCGAGAGCTGGGTGTTTGCCTGTCTGCTGGCGTCTCTGCAGGAGAGGACAGCAGGGCTTTATTGCCTTCTTGGCCCTGCGCCGGCGGCTCCTACCACTCCCGGGAACGGTTGGCGCGCCCTGCAGTTTCACCGTCACTCCTCAGCCTTCCCTGGGGAGCCTCATAGCTCAGCCTCATAACGCACAACTCAGTGGAGTCCTCTGTACTCCATGGCGCATTCTCAAAGGCCTCAAAGTTCCAGAGCTGCCCTCTCTCGGCCTCCTGACAAGCCCTGCTGCCTCCCTTCTCACCCAAGCCCCACACTCTTCCAGAGGGTTGTCTACACTCAGTGTCTACACTTCCTCACCTTCCCCCTCTGCTGACCCCTCGAGGCACTGGGGCATGGTGGCGCCTCTCCGATGCTCAGTGGACTTCGCCCCACCGGAGCTGTGTGCTCATCACTAAGTAAGGGCTCAGACCAGAGAAATCTCTGCGGTGCACCAGCTACCGTCTACTTCAAAACACAAACGTCTTCAGCACACTAGTGTGGGCAGGTTTTAGCCACGAGGAGACAGCATCAGACACTCACTGCGCTTTCTAAGAAGGCAGCATGTCAGTGGGACGACAGGTGTGAAACTTCTGGAGATTTCCCTAAGTGTGAGATGATTTCTGCCATGCGTTCACCCCTGGCCTGACCAAAGAGTTTCTTCATCCTGCTCAAAAATGCCTTCTCTCCCCTGCAGGCAGCACCAGTGACATCATGACCAGTGACCACAGCCCTGTCTTTGCCACCTTTGAGGCAGGCGTCACCTCCCAGTTTGTCTCCAAGAACGGTAAGTCAAGGACACTGTCCACCCCTCCACTGTCCACGCCAGCGGTCTTGGGCACTCATCTTCTGGTTGCAGCAATCAGTTGTCTGCCTTTGATGAGGGCTTATCCTTCTAGGCCAACCTGTTACCCCTGGACGGGTGTCTTGAGGTCCAAGTCACATCACGATTTCTGTCCAGAACATTTTCTTGCTCTTTTTGGCGTCTATATCCGTTTTTTAAGCTTTGGTTTTAAGACAGGGTGAACATGGCTCAGTGAGTGTTTTCTCGGGAGTTATCAAAAATGATTCTGAGAGGGATATGGGCCAACTTTTGATACTAATGCATCTAATCAGTATATTTTCAATTTGTCTTTTCTGTGTAAAGCAGGTGACACCAGTTTCCGATTAGTGCTGTGATAAACATTCTCGCTTAAATATTTATTTTACTTTAAAAACAGTCCATTTAAAGAGAACACTGAGTTCACGTTGGCGCAGCTGCATGGTAGGCAGAGGTGATGACAATTGTGAAGGTAGGGGGTGATCACTGAGTTTGGGGGACACTGGAGTAAGTGATCCTTAGATTTGTGGGTAACTTTCAGAGCACCCCTCAGCCCCCGCCCCTAGGAAGCCCTTGTCCCAGCAGGGCTGATGTCCCCAGTCACATGTCCAGTTCTCAGCCTGGGGACGCTGGAGTCAGGTCATCTCTGCCCACTTCCGTGTCACGCTCTTTTAGGGAGGCTGAGTGGGGGCTCCAGGTACGGGCTGGAAAGTCCACGTCCTCCATGCCCTGAGGGACCCTGAGACTGTCTGACTTCCAGAGACGCCCTTGGCCATGCCGGGCTCTGATCCCACAGCCCAGCAGTGCGACCCCCTCCCCCCACCCAAGCCTCATCCCACCCTCCTCTCCTTCCTAGCCCTTGCCTTTCAGGACCGTCCACCCGAACCCTCCCACCCCCTCTCTCTGGGTTCCCGCGGCACCTGTCGGGCGGCCGTCTCCCCCACTATGGGGCCAGCCCACGGCAGACATTCCCAAATACCTAGTACTGGATTGAGCGTGGGTGTTTACTGAAGCAGACCTGGCTGGGTGCTGTGGGGCTTACAAAGGGAAAGAAGGCCCTCCCTGGTGGCGCAGTAGGTTAGGACACAGCACTGCAAGCCGGCCGCAGCCTCTTCAGTGTGAGTTCGATCCCCGCCTGCCCCGGAGGGGACCCACAGGGCGCGGCAGACCTCTCCTGACCCTCCCGCTGCTCTCCTCAGCATGTTCTTCTTTGATCTGCCTGTTCTGCTCCCCATTCGGTCTCTGATGAATCCTCTCACTCCCCCTGCACCTCTGGCCTGTACCCCAGTTCTGTAAATAAATAAATCCTGGGAACAAAAAGTGGGGAAGGAAAAGGGAAGAGTATTGAGGAAGAGTAGACACATACTTACACATGCTTATGGGATCACTTGTATGTGGAATCTCTCAAAAAATAAGAAAAAGCCGACTTCATAGAAACAGAAAATGGGGAGGTGGGGAGATGTGGCACAACCCTCATCATGCCATGAGTCTACTCTGAGGACCAGCACACAGCAGGTGCCCTGAGGCCCAGCACAGCGCATGTCCTGGAAGTCAGCAGACTCCAGCGTCCTCACACACAGACCGACTGCTCCGGGCGGCGCGGGGTGTGTGACTTTCCTGGATCCTGGAGACCGTTTCGTAACGCCTGCCGAGGGGCACGAGGGCATTTAAACGCAGACGGTTGCAGCTGTCGGCCCTCAGTAAAGCCAGGGGAGGAAAGAGCGAGGCAGGCTGGGAGGAGAGAAGGCTCAGCATCGCCTCGGAGGGGCACACGGACACGTCTCACTGCCAGCGCGGCCCGCGGGGCCCGGCTCACCGGTGGATCTGAGTGTGGGCGTCAAGCCGTGCTCTCCCCACAGCTCGCTCTGCTCCCCGGCGCGGCCTGGGGCCGGGAAGCAGCTCCGGATGCGTTTCACCCTGCCCTTCCTGGGGTGCCCACGCCTCGCTGGCCGGTGCAGAGGGCTCAGCCCCGCCCCCTCCCTCACATGGCAGCACCCATTCTGTTCTTCCTTCCAGGTCCCGGGACTGCCGACAGCCAAGGGCAGATCGAATTTCTTGGATGCTATGCCACACTCAAGACCAAGTCCCAGACCAAATTCTACCTGGAATTCCACTCGAGCTGCTTAGAGAGTGCGTGGGGCTCAGGGTGCGGGAGGGCGGGGCAGCTGCCCCTCTCTCGCCAATGCCTTTCTCTGGGGGTGCTTTGCTTCACTTCTCCCTGGCAGGACTCAGGCATGAGTGGCCGCAGGGGTCAGAGAAGTGGGGTCCCAGGTGAAGAGTGCCAGGGGACACCCAGATACTGGGTGAGGGGCCTCCCAGGGCCCGTGGAGCTGCTACTCCAGCCCCAGGACACTGGCCCTCGGCCCAGTGGACGCCAGCGGACGCCCCCCCCCAGGGCCGGCACCAGAGCCTGAGCTGCTCCTGATAGCCTCCCAGCATTTCTCGGGGTCCGCTGCCCCCTCCCCCACGAGGACATCTTTCAGGTGGTCTGGAGCATTTTCCAGCAAGCTGATGCCGGCCACCCAGCAGCAGTTAGCGCCCCTGTGTTTAGGAGACACCCTTTCTGGGTGGCGTCCTGGGCATATTGTCGAAAGCTGTTCCCTGGCAGCCAGATCTGCGTGGTTCCAGCTGTCCCGCTGAGATGGCTGGAGAGCGGTGAGGGGGTGGGATCAGCTCCGCCCACCTGAGGACGGGACAGCTGAGATGCATCCAGAAATTGGGCGAGGACGTGTGCCCCCCGCCCGCCATGGCCCCCACCTCTGCGGGCTGGGACCTGGCGACAGACTGATCTCCCCACGGCTCTGCACCCCAGCCCCGCGAGCACGGGCAAAGCCTTTCCAAAGGGGATGAGGATTTCCAGCAGCGGGTGTTTTAATAAACTATAGAGACATTTGCATACATTTCTATGGAAACAGCATATTAGGAAGCTTAAATTAGCATTTCTAAAGGCTGCTATCTTGAGTGGCGTGGGACGAGCTGTCATCTCTCCCAACGATGCCGTGTGATGATTCCTTTGTTGCCCGGTTTGTGGCAAAGAGGAACCCAAGCGAAGGGGATGCACTCAGATTTTCATCGAAATAATTAGACCGTGTTGGCAAATGACCATCCCCGCAGCAAAACAGAATCCCCCACGCCCCTGCGCCATGCCAGGCCCCTGTAGACCGGAAAGGGAGGCTGCCTTCCCTGTGGGGCGCCGGGAGGGGGGCTCCCACAGTCTTTCCTGTGTGGCCTCTTGCTCCGTTTCCAGAACTCAGCCCCCTGTTCCTCCGACAGGTTTTGTCAAGAGTCAGGAAGGAGACAATGAAGAAGGAAGCGAAGGCGAGTTGGTGGTGAAGTTTGGAGAGACCCTTCCAAAGGTGATTCAGGACGGCATTCCCCGGGGAGAACTTGGCCGGGCTGGCCGGTGGCGGTGCCCCGGCACGGAGCCCCAGAGCCCACCCTCCAGGTGGCTTTGTGTCGGCGGCTCCTGAACACTTTTGAGAAATGGATGACAGACAAAGCTCTGGCCTCGTGGCCCCCGTTCCTAGATGGAACTTGATTCCCCTCGAGGATCGTAGAGGGGGTGTAGCGGCCACCCGTCCAGCAGGCGACTGCCAAGGAGGACGCTGAGGCAGGGCTCTGAGGTTAGCTCAGGGTCCCGCAGCTGCAGTGACAGACCCGGGCCCCAGTTCGAACCCCTGCAGTGCTTACGGGCCTGTTGGGCACCAGCTCTCAGACCTAGCAGAGCAGGCGATGGGAGCCCCCAGCTCGCCCCCATACTGAGCGCGGGGGGCCTGGCCGTGTCCGTGGTCCCGTGCCAGCAGGAGCGAACTGGCATGGCGTCGGGGAGCCCCAGTGCGGACACGCACAGCTTCACTGCAGGAAAAATGCTCTTCCACCGGGGGGTCCCCAGCTGCACCCAGAGGCGAGCACAGGGGTCTTGGTGTCCGTGGGGTGGGGGTGGGGCCTGCAGCAAGGCCCCTTGTGCTATGTGGGCACGAGGACTCGCAGCACCTCCTGTTCTTGTACCCACACAGCCCTACCCGTGGGAGGGGGGTTTTGGGGGGGCATGTGGATTCACCCACCGCCATCCACACACCCCTAGCCAGGAGCCCGCAGAAGCCAGAGGCAGCCCGATGTAGGGTCTGAGGGGCTCATTCACCAAGCTGCATCCCCGGCGACCCCCAGGCCAGAGGGGGGGAGGGTCTGAGGAAGGACACAGGCCACCCCCTACCCAAGGGCCACTGTCAGTGCCGCTGGCCCTGGGGGGCGGCCGAGGAGAGTGGCCCCTTCTGGGGAGCCTGGCACAAGTGCGCACCTCAGACCTGGGTCACCTGCCTGTCCGCCTGGCCCTGCTCCCTAGGACACTGGGTTGCAAAGGAGATGGGGCCGCAGGAGTCAGGCTCTCCCTGGGCCTAGGCTGAGGGGGCAGGGGAGTGGGATGCACATACGGGTCCCTTCCTCTTTCCTGGCCATGAAAAGCGGTTCGTTCAGTGGGGGGCAGCTACTGTGGTCACCAGTGCTTCCACCCCTGGGCTGGCAACGCCCCCAGCCCCAGCCTCACCCAGCCTCTGCCTCTGCAGCTGAAGCCCATCATCTCCGACCCCGAGTACCTGCTGGACCAGCACATCCTGATTAGCATTAAGTCCTCCGACAGCGACGAGTCCTACGGTAAGGGCGTGACGAGCGCGGTGGGCCCCCGTGCTGCAAGCTGGGGGCTCCACCGTGAGGCTGACGGTCCTCTCCTTCGGGAGAAACCCCACCCTACTCCCTACGCGAGGCCCCAGGGTGGGGTACTTACCCCTCCTGGGAGGCACAGCCAGCAGCTACCCGACCTCCTTTTCGCGAGCCTGTTCCCCTGGGCGCTCGCAGGCGCTCGGCCTGCTCTGCAGGGCTGTTCTCCCAGGCGCCGGCCGAGGCGCACGGAGGGCAGGTGGCACCAGGTCACGCAGGCACTCCCGGGAGGGACCCAGGCTTGACCCCAGGTCTGCGCCACGGTGCGCAGTGCCAGCCTGTGCCTGGCCTGAGCCCAAGGCTGGTGTGCCCCGGCACTGTCCGTGAGGCTGGAGCCCAGGGTGAGGGGCAGGAGGTCAGAGAGAACCAGAGGCCCGCGCCAGACCCAGCCACGCCGTACAAACCAGCGCGCGCGCTGAAGGAGCAGCAGGAGCCACCGGAGTTCGGGCGAGACGGTACCCAGTGCACACGTGCCTCTTAGCCAGGTGTGGTGGCGACGCCAAGTCAGGGCCAGGGGCAGCATGAGGGCAGCGGCTGAAACGGAGAGGAGAAAACTGGGCGGTTTTCATATTGGGGAGTGGGGTGGGGAGTCAGGTGGCCCCAGAGGCGGGCAGGGCCAGTATTGGCAGCAGAGGGACTGTATCGCGCTTGGTGCCACTGGCTGGAAGCAGAAAGAGGCTGCAGAGACACTGAGGGTGACGCCGAGGTGACGCCCCCCCGGTGGCCGAGCGCAGGCCACAGAGGCAGCCACGAGGGTGCCTTGTCCAGGGTGACAGAGCCACTGAGGGACTTTGACAAGCTTCACTCAGCCTGCACCCAGCCAGCCGCGCTGCAGCAGCAGGCCGCTGAGCAGGGCGGGCTGGGCAGAGCCCGAGGGTCTGCTGGCCGGAGCCAGAGTCTCCAACCAGAACGGGCTGGGTGTGGGAAGGTTTGGCGGCTGGAGTGGGAACACCGATCCCAGGGTGCTGCTGTCACGGTCAAGGTCTGTGCTCCCGAGTCCCCTCCGGGAATTCCTACAGCGAATACCACGATGCTGTCACGGAGCACAGCGAGGACAGAAAGTCCGCCACAGCCTCGTCTCGGCTGCAGCACTCGGAACCTGGTTTCACGCTGCCGGCTCAGGCCGCGGCGCCCACGAACTCCACGTCAGGGCCGGCAGGGGGCTTCCTCTGGCCACGTGCTCTCCGCGCCTCGTCTCACGTCACACTCGTTCTCCGTGATCCTCTCCATGCCCTGCAGGGCTGCTGCTTTTTTTTTTTTTAAAGATTTATTTATTTATTCATATAGAACTGGGTACAGGCCAGAGGTGCAGGGGCAGCGAGAGGCTTCACCAGAGACAGAGCGGGGAGCAGAACAGGCAGATGGACGAAGTACACTGCTGAGGGGAGCAGCGGGCGGCTCAGGAGAGGTCTGCCGCGCCATGTGGTCACCTCTGGGGCAGGCAGGGATTGAACTCATGCGGAAGTGGCTTAACCTTTGTAGTGTAGTGCTTTAGCCTGGTGCGCCACTAGGGAGGGCCCATGGGCTGCTGCTTTTTAATGGCTCCCTAATATTCCACAAATGACCTGCAGCCTCGTTTCAAGTCCTCCATTCTTATCTTGACGGCTCAGCCAGGTTGTCAAACATCCTGCTGAAGACCAGCCACGGCCTCGCCGTGACCAGGTGCCCCCCAGACCCTTGCAGGCACCAGGTCTTCTCTGCCCTCCCTCGATTTTGTGCCGAGTTCCTGTCTGTGAGAACGTCCCTTCGTGCTCCCTGAATTTGCGTTTTTGGTGACTCTAGAGACTGAACCGGTTTGCACTTACTGAAATGAACCAGCCACGTCTCCGTTTGGTGTGTGCCGTGTCTGCTGGGGTTTCTGCCCACGGGTGTTCCGGGGTGCGATTTTGAGGAGTTGTGGCGCGTTCAGAAAGACCCCCCCTGGAAGCTGGCTGCAGCTGGCCTTCCCCAGCCCAACCGCTCCTTTGCATTTTCGCTTTCGTTTTTGACGTCTTAAGACACCCGCGGGCAGGCTCCGTGGTCCTGTTCTGTCCTCTCCTAGGTTGCCTCAGGCCTTGAGAAAGGGCTGTTTGCTCCGGTCGTCAGAGTGGTGTCTTGCTGTCCAGCTGGACGTGTCTCCCTGGCTGCGGCACCCCCGCTCCAGGGGCTTGCCCGGCACTTCCCGCGCAGTCGCTGTCTGGAGGATCCTCTCTGAGCAGCTTTGGGTCCGGGCCGGGTGGCGGGGGACCCCCTGAGATGACGGGGGTCCTGGCGTGACCCGGCCCCCTCCCCCAGGCGAGGGCTGCATCGCTCTGCGGCTGGAGGCCACGGAAACTCAGGTCCCCATCTACACGCCGCTCACCCACCACGGCGAGCTGACCGGCCACTTCCGCGGCGAGATCAAGCTGCAGACGTCCCAGGGCAAGATGAGAGAGAAGCTCTACGGTGAGTGGCCGTGGGCCGGTGCCTTCCCGGCCTGCGGCTTGGCAGCGAAGGTCGCTCCCACCGACACTCTCTGCCTAGACTCTGCTGGCGGGCTCTGAGAGACCAGGAACCACCACCCCCTTCCTGACCCCGTCACCCCTCACTTGAAGGACGCACGTTTGTGCATTTTCCAGCCTCTTGTCACCTGATACCAGCCCCTGCCCCATGCCTGCTGTTGGCTCCTCCCCCGCCCCCGCGTGGTGGTGCCGGGGCCAAACAGAGGCTGTGATGGCTGTTGTCTTCGAGGCCCACCCTGGCCCTGCCTCATCGTGCCTACCCCGCTCTGCACCTCCCAAGTCGCTCTCACGCGTGAACACCAGCGGGAGTGTCCTGCCCCAGGCGCCGCTGATGGGCTTTCCCTACTGTCACCCCAGCCACCCCCAAAATAGCAGGGTCTGTGGATTTTCTTCCTGGCAGCGCCCCAGCACCTCTGTGAACTTGAGCTCAAATCTCCCGGTCCCGTTAAAGCCTCTTGCGTTCTTTGGCTGGGCGGAGGCCAGGAGGCAGTGACCTGGGGCCGCCCCCCTGGGGTACACGGCTCCCCTGCAGGGGCTTCCCTGGCCATGAGTCGTGCCAGTCTGGGGCGCCAGCCCCTGCCCTTCCCCACTTGTGCAGCCGCGTCGCCTAGCTGCGACCTGTCGCTCCTCCGTCCCAGGAGAGCGAGTGCGGCCCAGAGCCCTAGCGACATCAAAGGGGGTGCCCGGGCAGGGCTGGACACATGAGCCCTTGGTCCGCGTTCCGCCCGCCGCTTGGAGACGAGCATGCCTGCCGTGTTACAGTCCCTCTGCTTGAATGTGGAAAGGTTTGAGAGGTCAGAGCTTCAGGGTTTGTTAATCAGGTATTTCTTTTTCACATGGCAACAGGTGGATTTTTCCCCCTTTGCTTCAATTCCCACTCAAAAGTACTCAGGTAGCAAAGCCCCAGACGAGCTGGCTTCAGCTTTATGCTCGGCAGCGTCTGAAGGGATTGTCTTACAGCTGTCACCCCGTTCTCTCACCGTGGCCTGTCACCGTGGCCTGTCACCGTGGCCTGGCAAGCCAGGTCGCATCTGTGTGCGGTAGTCAGGGAAACTGAGGCGCAGAGGACTGAAGGCCCCAGGCCAGGAAAGTGGGTACTCCGGGTTGAAGTCCGCTTCCCCAAGTCTCTGCCAAGTTGGAAGCTGTAAACGTGGGGTCCTGCGCCTGAGCGGAGGAGCAAGGGCAGTATGTGGCACCCCATTCCAGGGCAGGCTCTGGGCCTCCGGGGGTGCTGCCACCCACGCGTGAGCCCCTCCCCGCCTGCAAGGGCGCCTTTCTCGAGCAGGACAGTGGGTTGGGGTGAGGGGAACTCAGCCAGGAGCAGAAACGGGGTTCCCCACTTAGCACGTGAGTGGGTTCTCTTTGGGTGCTGCACGCCCTGCGCAGCCCCTGTTAGACTTTACGCTAACTCCAAGGAATAATCTCCTGACCTGTCCGTCCTGGCAGTTCCAGGCTGGCAATGTCCCAGGGCACAGTGGCTAGCCCGCACCCAGCTCTCTTTCGGGGCGGGGGGCAGGACAACCAGGCCTCTTGGCCCCGTGTGAAGCCTCAGACCCTGCTTCACCCGCACCGCAGGCAGCGACACTCGCCGTCCAGCGCCGGGGTGCGAGTGCCCAGTGGAGGTGTCCACCTTTCCGGCCCGTCTGCCCCGGGCTTGGGCTTGGGCCTCACACGCTCTTTCCTGCTCCCTACCAGCTCGCCGACCTCAGAACAGCCCAGGCCCCTCTGACCTCAGGCCTGTGCACTTACTCTTCCCACCGTCTCCCCCTTCTTTCCTCACAGACTTTGTGAAGACCGAGCGGGATGAGCCCAGTGGGCCCAAGTCTCTGAAGAGCCTCACCGGCCACGACCTGGTGAAGCAGTGGGAAGCTGCCAGCAGGTAAGGAGGGGACGGGGCTGACCACAGACAGGCCTGGCAGGCCCGGGGAGGGGAGGCAGGCCACACGCACGCTGCCCAGACACGAAGCTGCGTGGCTGTGGCACGCAGCGCCTCCTGCTGGGGTTTGGCTCCGCTCTGTGAGCTTTTGCAGCTACCTCAGCTTGTGGGGTGAGAGCCCCTGATGGGTGCAGCCCAACTGGGCGCCCGCAAGTGGGGACACGGGCAAACGATGCCCGCTAGAGGAAGACGCAGCTGCAGAGACGACTGTGGGAAGGCTGTCCCGCCTCCTGTGGTACCGGGACGTGGCAGCCCAGGCGCCGTGGCTGATGCCCCCTTCCTGTTACTAGGGGTAGGGCAGGCAGGCCGAGGACGCTTTTGACAGGGGCCACATGGGAAACTCTGGACCTTGACTCCAAGGCTCAGCAGCAACAGGGGCACCTCTGCCTGCTCACGTGGCCCCAAGTTCCAGAATGGAGCCAGCAGGGTTGGCGTGGCCTCCCTGCCAGCTTGTGGAGGGCAAAGCTGTGCCAGTTAGCCAAAGCCCAGCACACCTGCCACGGGAGGGCAGGACCGGCCCACGCCGTCTGTCCTCCAGCTCCCCCACCCCACCCCAACTCCATCCCTGGCCCACTTCCAACTTGTCAAGGCCCAGCCCTGGCAGTCTCTCGTCGGATGCCATCCTACCAACAAAGGCATCTCACTCTCAGCGTCTGCCTGGTTCCAGAGTCAGGTCCGTGGCCACCAAACTATTTCCCATGTGACAAGTGTCAGAATTGCCGCGTCTTACGCGGGCACGGACCATGGCAGAGACGTGGCCCAGAACCAGGCTGGGGCAGAGGGGCGCGGGGCGTGTGTTCTGACCTGTGTCCTCGCGGCTCTTGGTCCGCCCACCTGTACCGCCTAACAGGTGGCACTGCTGCGCTGACCAGGAGGCGCAGGGGTGTCTCATGGGCCCTCCCTGATCTGGGCCACCCTCCAAGCTTTCTTCTGACTCCCCTTGGCCTCCATGAGCCCCACGCTTGTCTTTACAAGTGTCTCCATTCCGATGCCTCACACAAACATACCAGCTACCTTGTCCCAGATGGAGCTGGCAGCCAGCCCTGCACCCCGCCCCAGTCAGCCAGCCCTGCGCCCCCCAGTCAGCCAGCCCTGCCTGCCTCTCAGCCCCGCCCTCCTGGCTCACTGGTCTTCAGAACAGCTCAGGCCCTCCGACCTCAGGGTTTTGCACTTTCTCTTACCTCCGTCTCCCCTTCTTAGCTGCCTCTCCAGATGAGCCTTCTCTGGCCACCCCGTGCCCACTTGGCCCCAGCCTGGGCTCGCTTTCTCTGCCTCTTCTGTTACTCTCAGGTCCT